TTTCATTTTTTAAAAAAAATTAAAAAAATATAAAATGAGTTTCTTTACTTTTCGTATAATTGAGGGACCATTGCTACAAATAACCCTATAAATTAAATGATATAATATTTATCTATAACACTAATGCTAAAAATGGGTATGTAACTAATTATATCTAAAATCATTGTAAGCACATACGTATTGAATGCCACATAATGTGAAAAAAGAATCTCCTTACGTTACCTTAAAAAAAAAAGATTTAGATGACTACATGTGAGTCAATTAACATTTTGTCTAACTTCGTTAGGAGCAAAGAATTCAACTTATATGAATGTGATATGACTTCAATACTGGTTGCGTTTGCACTTATTATTACTATTTGTGATGCAGCCGAATAATAACAAAGGATAACTTCAAACGAACTTAACTCCGTCCATTCTAAAAATACCCGGATTATAAGTAAAAGATGAGAGAAGAATCACACTCCCCCAACCATTTAGGATCTTTTGACTTCTATCAATAGCCGCATAACATGTACACAAGTGGTCATATGCTAATATAAACCCGATCTGGACGTGACATGTATACTCCCATATCATGTGATAAGTGATTGATTAAGAAATGTGATCTGTATAACAATATTCCTCTTTTATACAATAGTGCCCATGTTGTCCTTAACTGTTCCTAATTTTTTTGACTGGTCTTGAGTACGGCTTTTGATCCATACTTACAGGCTAGCCATCAATGGAAAGGATGTGAATCTCTACATTAATTGACTGATCTAGATTAATCTTAGTCCACGACAGGGCTGGTTCTACTCAAATGTTTTATTTTTGTCTGACAACTCAAATGTATGTGGAAGTGGCTGACTTTAGTGGGTCAGCGGGCTTGAGTTAGAGATCCATTATTAGTAGATTCCATGACTTGAGTAGGTCAATAGGCTTGAAACATCCATTGTAATTTGTTAATAGCCAATTATATATAAAATAGGAATAATAAATGGGCAATTTGAAATAGTTAAGTTATGCACAATACAATTTGAGTTTTGATCATGCCCATAATTCTTGATAAGAAGATACATTATTGATTATGAAACATTTGCAATACATACATAATACAACCTGCAAGGATTGAAATAATAAATTCCAATCCCATTATTTTAGTACGTACTACTACCTAACTGAGGGACGTAGCATAGCGATTGAATTCTGAGACATCATCTCAATGGAATTTCCTATTTCAGTGTGATTGTCGCTCTGCTTTGTTCGAGCCAGTTCGGTTGCCAAACACTCCTTTAGTTCCACTAATACCTGGCTCATGGATGGCCTGTTGATGGGGTGTTTAGATACACATGCCATTGCTAATTCCACAGCTTTCCAGACAGAGCTAACATTGAAACTTCTCTCTAACCTTG